CGGCGCGGCGAGGTGTCGCAGACCGGTTGACCTTCGCCGTCGTCTCCGCCCGTCCCTCGCCCCGCCCAGCCGTTGCTTGCCTCACCACTCCCGTTACGCCCTTTCGCATGTGGCGCCACGCGCGGGAGCTTGGCTCACCGAGCCTCAACTGAATCATCCCAGCTAGCATAGCCGCTGTGTCTGCAGTCAGTCTGACCGGGAGGTCCTAGGGCACTAGCTAGCAGGCCAGGTGCAATGATTGATTGATGATGTCGGGCGCGCCAACTTCGAAGGTCATTGGTCCCGTAAAGTATTGCATGTTTTTCCTCGGTAGGTGGCAGTGATCACCCCCCCTTCATGGTGAGATCCGAACCAGACCTCCTGTCGGCTAGCGGGGTTTTCCCAAACCAGGTATCTTCCACCAGCGGGGCACTGTCTCACCCGGGACAAGCACTAAGCTCCCGTCTGGTCTCCCGGCGTGGTAGTGTTAGTGTAAGTAGGGCATATTAGTGTAAGTGTGTGTAATTAAAGGGTGAGGGTAGGACAAGGAAGAGGAAGGAAAGGTCGCGCGTTCCTTGCTCTTTAGTTGGCCTGGTGCTGATCGGAAAAAACTACGGTCAGAGCAGCCGGCCCCTAGAATTCTCCAGACAGCAGCTAGCTATGTAGTTAGTGTGGAAAATCCCTTTCACTGTCGGAACTCGAACCCAGGACGTCCTGGTCAGAGGTACAAGTGGCAAACGGTGCCCTGAGCTTCCTCTCCCGGTGCCAGGTTGAATTCGGCCGTTGTCAGGAGGAGAATTCTAGCGGCCGGCGGCTCTGATCGATAGTTTTCTTCGATACCAGGCGAATGGCAGAGCAGTACCCTAACAAACAGGACGCGGATCGCGCACGATTTTTACCTTATTCTTCCGAGATTATCTTCTCCCCGTAAACACTTTCTACACTACTACGCTTGTCAAATGGCCAGCCGGGAGCGAGATTGCTCCGGGGCGGAACCCCGGTGGGAGAGGAACTTGAGGGGGCTCCTTCAAGCGGACGTGCAGGCCCTGCTCTCGCCATCCAGCGGGGGAGGCTATCTCCCGAGATAGAATATTCACTGCACGTTCGGGAGTAATAACACTCGCAATTGACGTTCCAGAAAACATCATCAATGAATGACGTTTGCGCCGCTTTACACAGTGTCTGGGCGCCCGTTGCGGTCTTCTCCGTTACTTTTACGGGGCCCGTGGCCCTGTTGCACATTGAATGAAAAATCCTCTGCAATATATTGTGCGTCAACTATGAAAGGGAGGACGCAGACCCATTGTGCGCCGCCTGGGCGCCGTTGGAGCGAGGGGAGGGGAGCCAAGGAAATGGAAGTCATAACGTGATTCTCTTCGTTATTCTTGAGCCACCCGGGTGCGACAACCCGAGTGATCTCCTGGTGGTCTTTTGGCAGCATTGTGGCAATGCTTCATACGCATGGGTTATTGAAGAGGGGCTTCCCTTGCCTCGTTATGATTCGTGCTGCTTCCATCCTGGAAATTTAGTAATTTGCGGGACGGCTCTACCCAATCTCAACCAGGGAGAAGTTGCTTTCTGAAATGGCGTTGTGTACCCGGATGTCAGCCGGTCTGTTCCTTAGTGCAACCTGTATGTGTGCGTGTGGGGGGGGGGGTGAAAGCTAAGATGCCCGCTGTGATGTGAATAATATTCCTTCCCGGCGCGATAAGTCGCCCGACTCCCGTACATAGTGACGGGGGTAGACCGCAAGGGGCGTCCAGTCGCTTTGTAAAGCGGTCCATACACCATCAAGTGCCTTGGCGTAGTTGTAGGGAGGAAATTGTGAGAAGAATGTGACGGATTAACAACCGTATGCAAGTCCGACTGGCAAGTCCTCATCGTTCGTGTATGTCTACCTTAAGGTTCGTATACAGCACTAAGCTCAGAAAGGTGCGAACTAAATATTGTTCAAGCCAGTTCTCAGCAGAAATGAAAATATAAAAGCTTTAAAGTCATATAACAAGAATTTGAACGACTGAGATTTGAAAAGGGAAAATAAAACGCTAATGTTCCTCTTATTACTCTGACAAAGCTGACAAATATATGAATAAATAATAAAGCATTTCCTTTATAATTTAAAAAATATTAATAATATAATTACTATTAAGTTAGTATTTAAATTAGAAAATTAGACAAGTCATTTAATTATTAAATCTTGATGGGAGTATATTAAAACATTTCATAAATTAATAAAATAAAGTTATTAATTACTGTTAATTTGTGAAAACTTGCATTATCACATATGCTTATTCCGCCGCATAATTTATGCACTAATAAATTAACAACTTATCCAGACAAACACTACTTTGAATGGCCGCATATTTTGATTCGCCGCTTTATATTAATCCACTGTTTCCAATCGTTCAGTAAGTGTTTACAAATAGTGTTTTTTTTCAATTTGAATTTGAACAGTTCATTTTATTTATTAAAACGGCTGTAGGTGGTGGTGGTGGGTTGGCAGAACTCGCACGCACAGCTGCCCCAGAAAGCGTTTGATTGGCCAAGGCCGCGGTGCGGCTGGTTGCCTAGGCGGCCAGGGGCGCCGCCATCTGCGCGCTCCGTGGACTGCGCTCGTTGTGGGCGCAGCTGGCTCCTTCCATGAGCGGAGGGCGCCAGTGCAGCGAAGCGGGCGTTGGGGGGAGGACTCGAGCACCAGCTGGTACACGTTCAGAAGAGCGACAAATTGATACCTGTTTCAGCTTTAAATGAACGCTTAGAAAATAAACTTTTGGGAATTTGCTGAAATTAGTGATGGAAATCAAATTTTGGTATTTTGTGTACCATCATCTTAACGATAACTTTTAATAAATCATACAAATTCGGTGACTGTATTTTGGCTGGGATATCTCAAGGTGACAACTGTTGCTATTGCAGAGACTCTGGCCAGAAGGTCGTAGGGTCCAAAATCCGATGATGCGAGTTAGGTCGAATTTAGGGGCTATCTGAGGAAAAATTCTAGCGGCCGACTAATCTGATTGGTAGTTTGTCGTGTGCCGTGGTTTCTCCGTTAAACACGGAATTGCCAGACCAGTCCTCTAACCGCGCATCAGACCGCGTGTGATAGTTCCTTGACCTCCCCTTACACACAACTACACTTAGTTTCTACACTACCACACGTCGGAGACCAATCTCTAGCTTAGAGTTTATCTTGGGCAGGCTAGAGACCCGTTGTAAGAGACACCTTGAGTGGAAACCTTAGCAAGCCAACTTCGCACGTTTTTTGCGGGGGATGAACACCGCCACAGCTCGCGAAATAACAAGCACTATACTTACGGGACTGCTGTTCCTAGCCGTAAACGCGCCCGGGAACACGAAATAATAAAACTTACATTTTAATCGGTTATTTTTAAAACCCCGTAAATCACTTTCTTTTGCATTTCGTTTTTTGTCAGAAAATAGAAGCTACAGGATAGATTCATCGTTTCATGTGTAAATACCGTAAACCAGATTAATGGAATGGCTGTGAGGACACTGCATAGTTTTGGTTTAGGTTTGTAAGTCCTCTGTAAGTCATTGATTTGCGATGTACGTATGATTGTGTATGTATGTGTGAATACAGTGTATATGACTGAGATATCACTGACAGAGATATTGGTTAAAGGGGATGTTCAATACGGAAACATTCCTATGTACTATCATAGAAACACCTAGTTCAAGCAACTGTTTCTGTCATATGAATCATGTTTGATGTAGATTCACATTGCCATTTCACATAATATTGTAATTAATGTGCCAAATTACAGACTGAACCTGCAATGTGTACTTATTTACATGTTGGGGTAAAAAAATTCATATTAGTTTATTTGAAATCCAGTAAATCATAAACTTTTAAATAAGGCCAGCGACTATTGTACTATTGATACAAGTAAATTACACGTCTCCGTGGCCTTCTCAATGAAAATGTATGAATTAGAAGTAAATAAATAAAATAAAATAAAAAACAGAAAGGTTTTGTATGTACTTAGTGTTTTTCTCTTTTCCCGGCAACTTTACAATCCCCGACTTGCGGGGTTTTAAAACAACTGCTTCATTTGGAGATTTGAGAGTGACACGTGCTTGTTGTTGGTCGCGCAGGGGCAAGTATGCGGCGGTGCGGCGCTGCCGCGCGCGGGGCTCGGCGCCGGGCGCGCCCTGGCGCTTCGCGGCCAAGTTCCTGCGCAAGTGGCGGCGCGCCGCCGACCGGGACCTGCGCCCGGAGATCCTGCACGAGGTGGCCATCCTGCACGCGTGCCGCCGCTCCGCGCGCGTCGTGCGCCTCTTCGGCGTCTTCGAGTCCGACCACGAGATGGTGCTGCTCCTCGAGCTGTGAGTACTACTTGCCCGCTGCTGGCGATATCGCCTGCAATGGCATCGCCCTGCATGGCGTTCATTTGTTGCCCGACCTGTCAGAATGGTCCCTTCCTATAGTAACTCCTCTATAGTCGAGTTAAGCTTACCTAGTACCAAAGTGACAGTTCGGAAAACAAGTTAACACCATGTTTACTCCAGAAAAGTAACTCTCCGTCGGGTCAGCTCGTTGGTTTTCGAAATTTCGAGTAATACTAACTTTATGTGCAGCATAAAAGACATCAACGTAGGCAGTTCACATTCAAGATTCATTTTAAAACATGCATTACGGTGAAATCTTTTTTACTTATATAAATTACAAAATATATAATAATAAATTACAAATTGACTCGTCTTTTGGAATTTCTCATTATTCACATTAATAAAATAAAATATTAACGCAATTATAACCTGTAATTTTGCTTTCGAAAACTTGTTTACATTTGTAAGTTTAGAAATTGTAATAGTAAAAAAATAATAATAAAATGATATAATCTGTCTTCCAAACCGTGTTCATATTAGTATAATTATTATCTTGAAGTCAGTTATATGTATTATGATAGTTTTGCATCCTGTATATTAAAGAAAAAAATGAAGGTGTTCGATGAAGCACACCATTGTTTTAAAGGTGTCGAAGCAAGAAAAAAAAGCGAACCCTTATCATACAGAATGATCTCAAGTGTATATATTTGAAAGTTTCCATGAATTCATACAAAAAATAATATACGCAACTCGTTCACTAGTGTGTCTCTGCCGGTCCGGATGGCCGAGATCGCTAAGACACTAGTGCCGTCGACTAGGATCGCGGGTTCGAGTCCCGCCTCGGGCATGGATGTTATTGTGTTCGTTCTTTCACCCCCTATCAGCACCATATCGTGTCATCCCCACCTGGACATCATATCGTGTCATCCCCCTAGTTACCATACCGTTACACGCAGTAGTGATCGCTAATGGCGTGGTAGTTGATGCGACCTTAAAATAACAAAGAAAAATGTCTTTCTGGTCATTTCAATTGAACGCCAAACCCCGCGTTGTGCGCGAGATGCCTTAAAGCAAGCCTTGGTGGTGGCTGGTGCGCAGGTGCGAGGGCGGGGAGCTGCAGACGCTGCTGGACAGGGACATCGTCCCGGACGAGGCGCAGGTGCGGCTGCTCATGAGGCAGATCCTGCTGGGGCTGCGCGACCTGCACCAGCTCAACGTGGCGCACCTGGACATCAAGGTAAGGCCCCACCGCACCCTCTCGACACTGCACTCTCCCTGACCTAGAGGCTCTAGAGTTTGCGGCATAGCTAGGTCGAATTCCGGAGGAGAATTCTAGCGGCCGGCTGCTCTGATCGGTAGTTTTCCGTAGTTTCTTTGATCAACCTCAGACGAATGCCGAAGCAGTGCCCTGACAAACGGACACGGGCCGCACGCGATACATCCTTCCTCTTCCCTTACATTCTCTACACAACCACACTGCCGGGACACCAGTCGGGAGCTTCTAGATGGGGAGATGTTCCTTTGGGGGAGGTACCTGGCAAGCTGACGTGTGTGTCTTACGTGGAACTTACGTTCCAGCAAGGGAGGTACACCGCCACCTACTATGCACTACATTTACGCGAATATTTTTCTGTCACATTATAACCTATATAAAAAAAGTTAGGTCCTCTTCTTACTTTTGAATAAATATCAATAAACATCAACACATCGTATATTTATTTATAATAAGGTTAGCTTAGTCTTTAGCAGTTAACGCGCCCGTAAACATTCACTAGTTAATCCCTTCCTTCATCGGGAAAGCTGCTCATTGCGGGGATGTGTGTGCGCAGCCGCAGAACCTGGTGCTGACGGGAGAGTTTCCGCACGGGGACGTGAAGCTGTGCGACTTGGGCATCTCTCGCTACGTGGGCGAAGGCGCCGACGTGCGGGACATGTTGGGTACGCCTGACTACGTGGGTGAGTATGCTCCTCAAAAGGCAATAGAGTACAAACGGATAATGATGCAAGCGATAAAAGAGTGAGCGAAAAAAAACAACAACAACAACAACAGTGACCATTTACATGTCGTGAGAAAATTCTGTTCTTTTAATTAAGTCAATAAGTTTATATCATGTTTGTTTCACTGTCTCATTAAAACCACATTTCAATTTTTATTAAAATCCACCACTTCACAATGGTACTGAGGTACACAAAATGGTTTTCTCAAAATAATTAAAATGCCACTTATGCCGTTCTGTTTTTCACCTATTCAATTTATCAGGGGCCATTCGAAACCTACGTTCCCTTTGCAAGGAGTCATACTCTTTTGAGAAAATGTTGCAAAATGTTCCAGGGGCTTAAAGTATCCTCAATGTTTTAAAAATTCTATTCATAGTCGCAAGGTTTTTCCTGTTAATCTTGACAATTGCCCACATTTTAAGGAACGTGTATGACAGGTGATTGAAGTAACGCAGAAAACACACAAGTCACAATTATCAATACTGACTGATTATAGAATACCGACTCTTTAATCCATTTTAGAAATATTTTCATGTGTTGAAAATTTCTACTACGTAGGATCTAAATAAAAAGAAACGTTAAATATATTTGTCTGGTTCTTTCATTCTCGGGCGTACTACGTAAAAAAATATATCTATTAACAATTAAAATTAAATAATAAAGTAGGGGGGCTCCAACAACACATACTTTCTGCTAACATTTCAATGGTTACGTAATATTATAATGAGGATATTTGCGTTTTACACTTCAACTACTATTTAAAAATTCTTAAACCAGCAAAGAGCGAAAAATACGTATTTATTTTTTTAAATTCAAACTAAATTGGTTAATAATAGAAAACAATAAAACATCTGGGACTTTTCATTTAAAGCAAAATTCATGAAATTTGGTTGCGTACAAAGCACAAACGTCTTTTTAAACGAAAACTCTCAGTATGGGTATATATAAATATGGTATAGTCACACTATACATATCATATGATACAATGATATAGTTCCGATTTTTCATTAAAACAGCTGCAATTTAAGGTGCAAGGTTCAAATTCATTTTCAAACCTGTCCTACATCACCAATACTAAAGCCAGATATTTCTTTCTCGATGAATAATAACACTAAGTGGAGGAAATGTTGTGGTGTCCCGCTAGTTTTAAATGTGATTTCACTAAACATCACGAAAAAGGTGCTAGCGATGTTTACAAATGGACCGATGTTTTGGATCTTTTTACTTTCTCGCTGCGGAGTACAGAGACAGTTATGTAATACTACGCGAAAAACAACAACAACAAAACAAATTTTCAACAGAAAACTTCTTCATTACAGAGCCCTGGTAATGAAAAAGTGGATGAATCCAGTTGCTAAATTTTAAAGAAAAAATCGTCTTACACGTAGTGTAGCAGAATCCATGTTTTGTGAGTTCTTGATAACCGAAAAATTGAATGACGTCTGTCTGTCCGTCCGTCCGTTTGTGAACAATCGGCTAAACCTTTTAGCCGATTTTGTCCAAAATTGATATTCCCCAATCGATTCGACTTTTGTCGCGGCCCCTTTAGTTTAAAACCGATATTTTAATTTTGGTTGGTTCTTTACATGAAGCCCCTGGGACATTTTTCAAAATTTAAAAAAAATGACTTCATCGTTTTTAATTAAATTTTGTTTTTGGATAGTGTGGACGACATTCAAGTAAATGGCCACAGTTCTAATTTTCGTTGAAAATTGAAATTTTCGAAAATTGGAAAAGTTCCACATTTTTTCGGAGTCTTTCTACAACTGAAATATTAAACAAAGAGATTTGTCCCTTAATGAAATCTGTTCCTTAAAGGTAGATTTTGAAATAGTGTCATGTACAATGTTTCGAAAATTTGATTACTTTTCGAATAATTTTGCATGAAAATATCGACGAGAAAGTATGTGCTGCTTTTGCACCATTATTTTGGTATTGGGAAGTCCCAAAATGAGTATTTCGGTAAAAATGTCGAGTCTGATTATTTACTGCATTATATACCTCATTAAAACATTATGTATTCAGAAGTTAAAATGTATTTGCCCTCAACAATTAAAATAAATTATTATAATAGATTCAAATATATTAAATATTAAAGTTTTATTTAAATATTGCACATCCTAAATACAAAAGTAACATAAATATTTGATATAAGGCTGCATATTTGTGTCTATGAATTGAAATTAAAATTTGACAATAAACTATTTTTAATAATTATTGTGAAATACAAAAAATTCCTAAGTTATAGTATAGAACTTATATTGAACTATTTACTACATTTCACATCTAAAGAGTACTTTATTAATAAAAATATGTGAAGAAAAATTCCATTGACTAAACTCTTTATTAAATTTTAGAAATAAGACTGTAATTTAAAACATATTTTTTAGAAACTCTAACATGAATGCAATTTAAACTTTCCTGTGCATATGTCACCTGAGCTCTTCTACAATTCTGCCGAAATATGTACCTCATTTTCATGTGAGCACAGGCCTTGCTTGCTGTGGCAAAATGCCTGCACTTACAAAACAATCTCAAAGAAGAAGAATCACAGAAAAGATAATTTAATAATATTTTCTCAATGAAAAGAAATCTGTTTTGGTCCATGACACTTTTATGAGTTCTGCCAAGTTATTACTGTTTTTTTATAAGATAAATAACTGATGCAGTTACAAGAAAATTATTTCAAAGCAATTACTTCACTTTTGGGAAATAAAATGAAAACAGCATTTAAACTAAGAGGAAAATGAGAGGTGGTCATAAAGTAATGTCTTTTAATGTTATGCAGTTAAAGTATCCTACTGAATCAGAAATTTGGGCAAAGGAACTCAAATCAAGAAAATACTTGTAAAAATTGTAAAGCCATAATGTGATTTGTACTTTATTCTCCAATCATGTCATTTATGAATATTTACTTGAATGGGATTTTCACGCAGTGGCAGTTAATTATAATGATACAGTACAATACAAAAATTTAATAATAATTAGTATTTGAGTAATAAGTGGAGAAATAATGTTACAAAACTCATTTTTATTATTTTACTCCCTCTTAAGAAAATAATTTATTTTTTTTCCTTTCATATTTCAGCTCCAGAAGTTCTGAATTATGAGCCAATCAGTCTTGCTACTGATATGTGGTAAGAACATTTATTTGAAAATATTAAGCTGAACTTAAATTTCTTCTATCTTCAAATGAATTATAAATAAATGCACCAATATAAGCAAGACAATAAGTATAAAAATGCATTTAATTTAATTTAAATATATATTTAAATTGGTGCTGTTTGGAAATAATTCTTCAATTTTTCAACTATTTTTCTATCAATATACATAAATTGCCTTTTATACTTATGAATACCACTGTATCACATTGTTCTCTTTGCTGCTTAGGTCTGTAGGAGTTCTTGTGTATGTCCTGCTGACTGGCTGTTCTCCCTTTGGAGGTGATACAAAGCAAGAAACCTTCTGCAACATCTCCCAGTGCAACCTCGACTTCCCCGAAGATTTGTTCGAGGATGTGACAGAGGAAGCAAAGGACTTAATGAGAAAACTAATGGTGAAAGAACCAAGGTAATTCCTCTACCTCTTATGCCTCTTCAGCATTTCCTTGTTACAGGCTCTTTAAATTCAGGAAACATTGTTTTACAATGCAATGATTTCAGGGGTGATTTTTTTAAAAATATTTAGCATTTAGTGAAGTGATGCATACGCATAAGAAGTGTGCATTAGGCTAATATCCAGCTAAGTGCAGATTGTTAATCATAATGCATTTTCCAAACTTTCTCTTTTTAATACCAACCTTTTGCTAGATATCTAGAAAGATCCACAGAATACAATATTTTCCTTTTGACATGCCTCTTTTTACACATCCTAAAATAAAAGGAATGTGTTTAATAGTGCTTACACAAATGGAGGCACAAACTGCAAGTTAATAGATAGTCAAAGAAGAACATAAATTCCTCTCAAGGAAGGAGAACAGCCCACCTTGTACTTACTGCTTGCTTTCATCAAGGTTATTTTAGAGGGCAATAGAAGTTATCCTTCTATTAGTAACTAGGAAATAAGCTTGCAAATAGATGGGTTTCCATTTACACTAATGAGTCCTTGAGTGTCTGAGCTGCATAGATAAAATAAAGAGAAAGGCTTGGCTCTTTACCGAGTATGCAAGTTTTCTCAAAATCAAAATTGTGATGCAATTTCAATCTAAGACAGATGGAATTAATTTGGTATTCAAACTCTTTTATGTTATGTAGGACAAATCAAGCATAAATTTAAGTTGCATGTGTGACAACTGTTACTAAAATAAGATTTTGAAATTTTGAGCAAAAGCCCCTCACACCACGTTTAAGGTACTTCCTTTTCCACTGGCAAATGAGGCATTCCACACAAATCAACCATGTTTTGTTTCTTGTTAATAACTACCAAAAACTTTCAATATTTCCTTTCCTTCGAGGCATTAAGTAAAAGAGAACACTGTTAATGAACAGTAGTTCTAGTAACACAAAAGCCATTTCAGTATAGGCATCTGACAAAAACCTTTCAAACATGTCTGTCTCACAAATAAAATTTTCTACTGCATCCTTGTGTGACTATCTAATGATGCATATGAGAACTCAAAGGTCAATACTCAGTCAATAAATTCCCTGATGTTTTGGTTGTTCATAAGCATTATATCTATGTTGGATAGATATAATGATTTTGAAACTTTGAATTTATATTCAAAAAAATTTTTTTTCTGAGATAGTGAGGCAGCCAGTTTATTTATTTCTGGACCACTTAATTACTCACAAGCACCAGTATTGTAGTACTCAAGTAGAGATGAAGTTATTTTTCCGAGAAACAAATTCATCAATCTATCATAGAGATATATTTAGAAAAACATAGAACAAGTTACAATTGTGTGTGAACTTGCACCCTAATCAACACACTGATTTATTTTTAGCTAATTACAGGATGACAGTATTTTTCAGTGATATAATTTGCAATTTAATTAGAATTTGATACTTAATCCATAAATCATGAGTAGTTACAATGAGAGCATTAAAACTTTGATATTTTTAGTTTTAGATGGGAAGAAATTCTTTTCATGATAGTTAGGGCTACAAGATGCCTCTTTTATCTAGATATGCCTTCGTTGTAGGTAATTTTTGTTCAATTTTTTACTGCTAAATCCTCTATTATCCTCCATTTTTCCTTCTCCTTGGACTGCCCGCTTCCTTGTTTTCCTCCTTTTCCCCCTCCTTTTCTCTTTTCCTTCTTCTTCTTTTTCTTTTTCTTCTTTGTCTTCTTCCTCTTCCTATCCTTCTTCTACTTCTTCTTTCTCTTCCTTCTCTACTTCTCTTCCTCTCTTCTCTCTTTCTTCTTCTATCTTCTCTTCTTCTCTCTTCTTCATCATCTTTCTTCCTTGTCTTTTTCTTCCTCTTCTTCTTCTTCATTCTTCTTCCTTGTCTGTTTCTTCCTCCTCTTTCTTCTTCTTCTTCTTCTTCTTCATCTTCCTTCCTTGTCTTTTCTTCCTCTCTTCTTCTTCTCTTCTTCTTCTTCTTCTTCTTCTTCTTCTTCATCTTCCTCTTCTTTTTCTTCTACAAGAACAGGTAAGTTGCACGTGGTGCTCCTGCTATTTTGCTGCAAGGAGGTGATGAGTAATAATTTTTTAAATGATTAAAACAGCAAGTAGCTCATGCAATACAGTTTCTTGAATATCATTGATCAATACCACATTAGTGAAATGGTCATTACAACAATGTATTATATTATGAATCCATTCCATCACAATGTCTAATATTATAATATTATACCCTCATAAAAACAACTCTATTTGGACAGGCTTGATATAAAATGTCATTTGTTTTGTAGTTATAGTCATGAAAAATATTTGAAAACATTGGTCTAGAAAAACTGTAAGTCATGTTGTTTAAAGAAACAAAGACATTTTTATTTTTGATTCTTGGAAAGACAACAACATCAAAATGAATGTTGTCAGTCAGACTCCAAATATCTCAACTTGTTGTTGTTTTTTGCAGCAAACGACTAACAGTGGAGCAGTCCCTGCGACATCCATGGTTCTCTACGACTCAAGTGCCTACACCTCTAGGTGCTATGCGGGAGGCTAGCACTGAGTTATCTTCAAAGAATTCCTTTAGGGAGGCGGAATGCAAGTCCCCGGTTGTTTCTATGAAACTGGAAAAATCTTCACCAGCTCTTTCCAAGAAAATGGACCGTCCATCACCAACAATGATGCGAAAACCAGGCAAAGAAATTCCTGAACTGCCATGCAAGAACAATGACATGCCTCTTAGTTTGCCAAAACGAACAGTTCCTGTCACATGTGATGTTGCTTCCCGATCTCAGGCACTAATAGAAGTCAATAAATCAATAGTAACAACAACAACAACAACAGTGAGTGAAATTAACACTTCCAAAGAGCTTCTTGAAGGTACAGAGAGCAACATGCAGGATAGAAGCAATGGAGGAATGCGATCCTTCAGAAAAAATACTTTCAAGAAGAATATGGGTAGTATTCTTGAAAGAGTAACCTCATGTGAAGACTTCAAGAATAATAATGGCTTCAACTTGACTAATGGTATTACCAATAAAAATAAAAGTAATGACACTAGCAGCACTACTGGTATCAGTAATAATAGTGCCATTGAAAGTAATACCCACGTCACAAGCAACAGCATCATCACTAGCAACATAAGTACTGACACCATCAGTAGTAATACCAGCACCAGCAGCAATAACACCATACACAATAGTAATACTTCTACTATCACTACATCTACTGTTACTACTCCTAGCAGTTACAGCTCCAATGCTAGTAATTCTATCAACGACAACAAAAATAATAATTATAACCATGAGAAAGTCACTCATGTGAGCAGCATTAGCTTCAACACGAGAGGCAACATGACCAGTAGCTGCAGCACTAGCAATGGTTCTACCAGTAATATCAGTCACAGCAGCAGTACGTACGGCAACAATTTATGCACTAGTGTCACGCAGCCCAAAACTGGTTCTATTTCTGCAAACAGAGCATTATTTGAGAGCAACAGATTATCAGTGAGATTCAGTTCCAGCTCGAAAAAGGTCCCTGTTCCAGAGACTCCTGCTGCCAATTCTAATGCTTCCATTGCTTCCCTTACAATGTCACGGCCCAACAGAGCAACAGCTATGCAAACTATGCCTCTTGGAGGAGTGAGAGAATACAGACTGAAATTTGAGTTAACTTCCTCCTCACCCTCTACAACAACCACAGCCACAACCACAACCACAGCAGTTAGACACAGTTGCACAAGCACTGCAAGCAGATCTACCACTGCCACTACCACAATGACAATGTCCACTGCTCCATCTCTTCCTGTCGCAGCTTCCGTTTCAGTGACTCCTTCCACACATCCTTCCTCAGACATTGCTGGTTCACAGAAAAATGAAGACAAAGACTGTGTATATACTTTTAGAAAATGCTTTATTGTTGACGATGCAGAAACAGAAAATGGAAACTCTTTAGTGAGTGATGGAACTAATGAGTCTGAGACCAGTTCTGGATATTACGATAATTCGAGCTGCTGCTCTAGTAGTGATTCTGTAAGTGATGTCAGTGAAACGTCAACAGACTCTGCAGGAGATCGTTTGAGCACAGCGTCTATGGATTCTCTGGACTCCTGCTATGGCAAAGAGAAAAGGCATTATTCGTCTACTCTGACAGCATTTTCCTTGAAAAATAACTACAACAAAAGAGTTAACAGTCTCAAGACTGAAACAGTTTCAAAAACACACCAAAGTCCTGCTTTCCATCGAGCAGTTTCAACATTCAATCACATTTCAGAAAATTCCAATAAAGGCTTCAGTCAACCAGAGGATGTGGAACAAGAAAAAATATTTGCTGCAGCAAGACGCCAAGCTGCCAAGGCATCCCACACCACAGTCATCAACAAAGCTGCCAGGGCTTCCTTCGTGCCCACTGCCCCAGCCAGTCCTGTTGTTCGTAAAGAGTGTGCTCTTAATATTACTAAAGAAAGAAACGGTAAAGAAGTTGTTCTGCAAGAAGTAAAAGCAGGAAAATGTAGCCGCTTCAGTGAAGTGAAGATAGAATCAGTGCAATCACGAATCAAGAAATTTCAGAGTTGAAGTGCCAAAAGTAAAGTGTCCATTAAATATGTATTATAGAACTCTTCAAATTTTGTGAAAAAACATAAAAATCAAACGTACAATGTCTGTTTGTATACTAGTCAATAATTTCTTGTGTTCTAGTTTCACAAATATCCCTAATTATTCATTGTATGTTTCTGTATTGGGAAATTCATGAATTTGAGATGCGGAACATCATTGTGTAAATGTGTACAAAGCAGTTCCTATGTGAAACTACTGCACTGATCACTGATCCCAGTTCACCGAGAAGATGATTCCGTGCGTTCAATCATAGTGAATAACCAAGAAGAGTTGTAAAAATTTAATTTATATCAATTATTGAGTATTTTTCATTACAATATATTGTATAAAATTATTATTATATACTTATTTTATATTATGTGATTATAAAATTACTAGTTATGGAATTTAAATATTTCATGATCAAAATAATTTATGTGAATTTCACAAAGTAAAATGGAACTTGTTCCCTATTATCTTCACCCATTCAGTGATGAATTATGAATGTGGTTGGAAGATATGTTTGGAACAAATGACTGTAGAAATTGTTTATAATATCTTGGAATAATTTCAAGATATTCATTATCATGGAAAAGCTTGTGGTGCAAGACATGTTTAAATTATGTGCATATTGAGAGCTAAGAGTTGTGAGACTTTTTCGTGCCATTTCTTTTGATTACTCATGCATTGTATAAACAAAATATTAAACAATGTTCAGAACAATAATCAAAAGACTTGCAGCAAAAATTACAATTTAGTAGCTCAAGTCTTCTCAGATAGTAAAAATGCTTCCAATATTTGTGGTAAAAATGTGTCAAATGTAAATAGACAGGCAAGTGTCATTTCATATTTATAAGATACATATCAATGTTTTTAACTGAAATGTTACCTCTTGAACTATTTATATTTCTCAGGCCTATTAAATGCAAAAACAATTTTATCAAATGTTTGAAAATGTCTTTCTTAAAAATTGTTATTCTTACTATTGGATTAAAAATCAATTCTATTCACATTTTTATTCATTCTGAGTAGATTTCTTAAACTGTACTTAATATCGCAGACTATGGATTTGTGAAGAAAGAAGACTGTAGACTGGTGCATTTTTCACTTTACCAATACTATAAAGCAGTAATTTTGAAACATTTTTAATAACTGCCTTTACTTCTGACTATCAGTCAGAATTTTACCAAGTTACAACTGTATCAATAACATTCACAAACCTATCCAGAACAAGGAACATTCAGTAGAAATTCTTCAAATTGTAATTTTGAATTTGCATCCAATGAATTTGATGAAAAACGGTGGTCATGTTTGATCTTTGTTCTGGACCAGTGGAGTACTTTCTGGACCAATGTAATAGTTCTCTGCCAAGGTGATTCAAACATTTTTGTGTTGTAAGGAAATAAGAAATGTTGATAATAAACATTTTAATTAACAAACTGTATTATTGAAACCATCCATAATCCTCAAGGGAATAAATACAATTAATTTTTTTTTTTCAGCACTCCTGCATAGAAATTAGTACTTATCTTCTCTGTTTTTTGATTTGAAAATGTTACGTTGCACATGGTAAAGTAGACTTTGTCATGTGTACACTGTAAAGCAGTGAAGGCTATGTAAAACAACCAAGTATCACTGGCTGCTGCCTCACATTTTGAGAGTGATCCCAAGAGTAGGTACATGTAAGTTTTCATGAATTCCTACAAACAAAAAAATACCCAAAAGCACCTTACGTGTATTTATTTTAACAATAACAACAACAACAACAATAATAATAATAATAATAATAATAATAATAATAATAATAATAATAATAATAATAATAATAATAATAATAATTAGTATTCCTCATAGACATTTACAAATAAAAAAATGCAACAAGCAACATCAGGTCTACAGTCATTTTAATAGTTACAACATATATAGGGAGGTTTAAAAATTAAAATACAATTATAATAGTTTTACATACTTTTACCATTTTTAACATCTGTTACTTAACTTTTAACTTTTTATGAGACTGTATGGGCATTTTGCAACTAGGAAACTTTTAAATGTCTTTTTGAACAGTTCCAATTCATGTTCTTAGTTTATTAAAGATAGAGCAATGCAGCTGCAAGATAAGGATCTTTGGCTGTAGCAGCTTTACCAGTACACACTGTTGTAAGTATTCCTCCTTTGTGTACTATATTCATGGAAATCTTTATCGAATGTGAGATGTGTGTTCTCCAAGTTACAAAAAGTGTTATCACCTTGTATGCATAAAGAGATACGATTGTCAGCTTCTGTGTTGTATATAATATTCTACACAAGACTCTTCTGGTTTAAGTTTTAAAAAAAATCTGATGCTTTTCTTTTGTTCTTTCATCAGTCTGTTCAAGTTCATCTGTGAAGTTCTTCCCCAAAATTAAATTCCATACTGCAAATGTGAATAAATTAATCAATAATATAAAGTTTTTAGCATTGCAATACTGAGGTATTAAGAAAACTATCTCAATAAGAAAATATTTGAGTTTAGGGTGCTACACAATGAATTTACATGCTTATTAAATGATAAGTTCTGATCAAAGTATATCCCAAAAAATGTATGGTCTGATATTTTTGGACTGATTCATCCCCAATAAAGACATTGAGATTGTGCATCACACTGCGATAAGAAACGAATTGAAAATTAATTGAAATTGACTCACTGGTATTTAGCTGTAGACTTTTGAAAAAATGGCATTGAGCATTTTCAAAAATGCGGAATTTTGTGGTCTTTTAACAGAAACATTTTGAGTTTTCGAGAAACTTTATTTGACATCATTTAAATTATATTTTCAAAGCAATAATGTGAACAAATTGCTGCTAATGCAAATAGTATTGACATGAGAGAAGTCAAAACAAGTGGTGCTACAGAATGGCACAGACTTTACCGTAGTTGTTTTCTATTTCCTTTGGTCTCAACTGCATACTAGCTGTTCGGGCTTGCCAGATACTCTTGTCAGCTATCTTTTATCGTCGTCCAAGTACATTTTTTAAATTTTCTTAATTTTTCGGTTTCCTAAAAATAGAACAGAAATATTATTATAAGAATATTGAAGAACAGTAAAACCTCGTACTAAATGGCAAATTTTCTTAGAAAGAACGCGGCGCCGTTTTTAAGAAAATTGCGTTTAAGCGCTACTGAAAATTCGAAATATGAAGCTTTTTTTCACAAAAAATGTTCGAGTTTTCGAAAACCTTCATTAGAAGTCATTTGAATAACTTTAAGTCACAAATGCAGTAGTATTTACAAATTACTGGAAATGTGCATATTAACGGAGTAAAATATTTCAAAAACATTACATTTGAATAATTCTTGAAAAAAATAAAGTATCCCAAAATGAACTCTACGTCGTATTAAACAGTGCGATTAGCACTATCCGTTCGAAAAGTTTGAAGGAAAAATTTGGAGCCGTTTTTGAGAAACTGGCGTTTGAGCGTGTCTGAAGAAGCGTTTCACAGAAAACGGTTGAGTTTTCGAGAAACTTTATAAAGCACATGCACTCAATATAATATTTTAAACAAATCGTCGCTAATGTAAATATTATTAACGTGAGAGACAAGTCAAATAAATTACATTTTTGTATTTTTTGAAAAAGAAAAGAATTGATCAAACTGATGTTAATGTCATCTTATAGAGTACATTTAACACTATCTCTACCAAAAGTTTAAAGAAAAAATTGGAGCCACTTTTGAGAAAATCTGTTTTTGTTATTTTTTAAAATTGCAAAAATTGCTGGCAATATTGAGCAAAAACGAAAAGTTTTAAAAATGTACATGATCCTAATAAAAGAATTCACTATAGAGAACCAATTTTATTTCAAGGAAAACTTTCTATCTTTAGTTTATAGTTTTAAGAAGACAGCTAAAAAAAACATACTTTTGAAAGTTTCGAAAATTTAGAGTTAACCGTGAAAATAGGACCTACGCCCCTTTTATAAGTGTATGTAACTCCATTCTTAAAAGAAATTCAAAGAAAAAATTTGGAGCTGATTTTGAGAAAAGTTTTAAAATGTCCGGAGGGCTTCGTGTAAAGTATCCCCAATTTTAAAGAATGTTTTTCAAATCCTCAAAGCTTTGACTCAAGCAAGATGTACGGGAGTTCTTCAATTTAGAAAAAATCCTACCCATGGTTTAGGTGTTAGTAGTGTTCACTGACGACAGACGGGCGTTTCGAAAGTAGCCACCTTTTCGGTATCAGTAGACTCCAAAAGTGCATTTCCGTTGAAATCTCAAAATCAATTTCCCGCAGCATTACACAACTTTACATATAACATATACTACGTACGTACACGGGAAAGTAAAAATTATTTTTTTTAATTTTTGAAAAAAGAAAAGAATAGAGCAATTTTGCGTTTATGTTAATCTTATAGAGAACATTTCGCACTATTCCTACCAAAAACTAAAAAAAGAAAATTGGTGTCTTAATGTTAAGCTGGCAATGCCAATTGACCAAAAAATATTATCTCTATTTACAAAATATTGCGTTAGATTTTCTTGACACAGAAATTACCACAAAAATACACTATACAACAGTATTATTTTACATTTTTCAACATTTAATATTCCCCCAAATAATTATTATTCATGACATTACTGTCAAAAAAACAACACTTTTAGCGAGACATAATTCCTCATAAAACTAAAAAAATCAACAGTATGTACTGACGTTTAACAACAACCAGAACCGAACATTATTCTAATAAACTACACCAACAATCATTCAGTTGCACTCACGGTTTTTGGAAAATTGGACAAACCATTTAGACTGACGTCTTCTGCAGTTCAGTGGGAAATATAGTAATTCAAATCGTTCTCCATGTTGTCCTGACAGATGTATATTACTTCACGAAGGAATGACGAAGGATATGATCCCAATGCTGTAGTTGATTTGCCTTTGAAAATATATTTTATTATATCGGAGCTGACATTTGGTTAATAATTGTTGCCAAAAACACTCATTTCTTTCTTTATTCAGAACTCAATGTGTATTTGTGGTTTAGGGTAGGTATCCCAGAATTAAGAAATCGTGCACAGAATAGGTTTCTCACTGTAGCACGTCACACACAGTTTTGAACAGTTTTTGACTTAAATACAAAAATAATAAATTAAAAAAATAACTAGTACGAGAAACTCTGTATCATTCTGTAGAACCAGCAGGTCATTTTTGATTTAAAGGAAATGCGATAAATAAGCTTTTAAAGGTGCTACGAGATGTCATGGAGTGAGATCTAAAATATCATATGGTACAATGAAATTAGGAATACGGGGAAAATTGTGTCGAAAAAAAAACAACAATTTTTTTCAGGAAGAGGTGACACAAATATTCTATTGTCATAGTGAAGGAAACTATTGTTATTGCAAATAATTCGGCACTGCGATGTTTATCCAATGTGTTTTTCGGCATTCTACCAAAATGGAAAAAAATGGCGGGATAACGTTTTTTGTCAACAATTTTATAACAGTCGCTGGTAAACATTTTCTAAAGGGTACAAAAACATCTTCAAATAACGATATACGAATGCAATTTTTTTAAATTTCTAATCTTTTTAGTATTTCGGCAATATCTAAAAAAATACTTTTCCCAATAATTTTTGTATTGTAATGGTAAATATTTTCTAAAGCATGGTCGAACCACACATCGTGGACAGACAAGTGATAATGAGAATTTTTGAAATTTCAATTTGTTTCTTGGTATTTTGGCGGTTTAAAAATTGTAACATTTAAGTAATTTGCATTTTACCTTTCTAACCGTAACTGATAAATATTTTCTAAAAGGTAGGAAAATTTTATCAAATTATGAATAAGCGAATTCACATGAAAATGTTTTGAAATTTTTAAGTGTTTCTTTGGTAATTTTGCAAAATTAGAAAGAAGGCGGGATAAAAGAGTTTTATCTACAATTTTTTACGGTAGCTGGTAAATGTGTTATAAATGGTGAGCAAACGCCGTCACGCTTGATGTCGCGTGGCGGCGGTCCTCACCCGTGTTCACCGGCGGTGGAGCGGCGCGACTAAAGCAGTGTCCCCGGGGAGACGCCACGGATCGTCCGCGGTATCGCCGTATGTTACTCACGGCGACTCGTGCCCCGATCGAAGACAGCAGCCGTTCACACACAGGAATCGTGAAAAAATTTGCTCGCCCCCGATCATATTCTCGCGGGATCGTCAGCTCCGACGCAGTTGCATGGAACGCATGAGAGTGGCCTGAAGCGAGCGCGCTCACGAAGAACTTATAAAGAAGCTCGGCGAATACATTTTAGAAGCTCGGCGAACAAATATTGTAGAGTGTCAAAATCTAGTCGCCCGTAGCTTTGCATCGCAGTTCCGTGTGCAATGCCGCCACACTTTCCTGCTATGAAGCCATTCATATCCTTTCGGACATCAGTGGTTGATCTGTAAAATAGAAA